TATATATATATATATATATATATATATATATACATGCATACACTGTTGTATATGTATACAATCATTATACATTGTCAAGCATTGTAGTAAAAGTTAAGAAAAACTACCGTTATACTCCAAATAAATGAAAAAGAATATATTTCTCTGGAGTGTGAAAGTCGTTTTTTCTAAACTTTTATCAAAATATGTAAATTCCTCCAGTTTTCACTACAAATTTTGAAATACAACAACAAAAAAGCATTGTAGTAGTTTATAACATATTGCATCCGACTCCCGCATGAATTAATTCAGTCATGTTTGAGCCATCTTTTGAAACTCTGCTTGGTTGCAACAGTGGTGTCATCTAGGAACTGTCCAACTCGATTTATATCTCAGGCATCATAAAAAATCAAATTAAATAAATTTTTTTAGCTAAAAGTGTAATAATTCAGGATTAATATTCGTGTTGTTACTACTGTAAGTCAATATACACTCAGAGGAAACACAACTTTTTTGTTGCTTGAAGAAGCAGCATACTTCCAGGTAAATAGGTGTGAATCTAGCAAGTACAGGGTGGCATGTTTTATATTGTTCTCAACACTTGGCTAGATTATGGGAACGAGTACTTGAAAATGTCAGATGACTTTTCAACATTAAAAAAGTCAGTGGCTCAGGAGGCAAGAGCACAATGCTCTTTCAGTCTCTGGTATTTTAATATAAGGATAATCCTATTTTATGAAGTAAATCATGCAGTAAACAAAAATGTAATGCTTGTATCATATTGTGAAATACCACCCGACAGCTCATAAGACAAGAGTCGCAAAACCTTTCAACTGAGTTTTTGAACTCTTGCTAACATCTTTAGTTGTTATAATTATTGAGGTACTAGGTGTTATATCTATTCGCTCCCGTTGCCTTAACTTCTGTGGACTGAGTAGTAATCATACACTGTAGTACAAACACATTGATTCATGTTACCACATGGGGACTCAGAAAGCAATGGTTGTGACACCTTTTCAGTTGCTGGCTTTCCAATCATATAAATGCCATAGCTGGTGATGATAGAGTAGCAGTAACAAAATATAGTTTCCACATTCTGCTAGACAATACTACTCAAAGCAATGAATGCTATTTTCATTCAACCATTGGTTACTCAAACAAATGGCTGACTATCTTAGCTGTTGTGAATAAAATGGTGATCCTACAATGTATTACATACACTATATCTCAGTGTCTCTCGACAGTTAGGAAGTAAAGCTTGCAAAGTCCTTTCAGTCATTGTTTTCTTGATAAAACAACCATCCTAGCTGGTGATACTCAAGTGGTAATCACAGAATGTAGTTCATACATTTCACTAAAAACAATGCTCAGAAGGTTTACTAAGTCCTTTCAGTCATTGTTTTCTTGATAAAACAACCATCCTAGCTGGTGATACTCAAGTGGTAATCACAGAATGTAGTTCATACATTTCACTAAAAACAATGCTCAGAAGGTTTACAAAGTCCTTTCAGTTGTTGAATTTTTTACCAAACATCCATTTCAATTATTTTCAATCAATCAATCTTACACATATCGATTGGATAGTTGATATCTGTGTCCTGTCCATCATTCATAACTGTTTATCACCTTTATCTTGTGGTTTGTCATGGACCACCAGATAATTCTCTCTCTCGTCAGATGAATCAGTATGATCGAGACGTCATCCTTGCCATCCTTTGACTTATTAATCTCATCCTCAGTGCTCTAAAGGTTTGTCTGCAACATGTAGATGCAGTTTAATGACGTATTATACACACTTTCATTTATCTTGAATCCATTGTAACATATACATTAATGGATCAACTTGTTGGAGACAGGTATGGATCAGTGCAGCTTGATCCAAGCTGCTTCTGTTTAGCCAATACTTACTAGAAGCAGACCCAATCTTCACACTGAACTTTTATTTTTGTTACTTACTGTCTGATCATAACACTTCTGTTATCGAGCAGCTTTCCTTAGTTGTTGTTTGGCGAACTTGTGTGCATTGATAATTATAGACCTCAGCCACTCCACATGTTCCTAACATTGAGGAATGTCTTCTCTTGGGTAGGACCGTATGAGTACGTGTGGCAAACGGCCTATATATCCTAGTTTTGTTGCTCTATTTGCCATCATCGTATGTGGCAAGTGTCCATCCCAATCAGTTATGTTAGGATTAACAAACATTGCAAGCGTCCATTTGGTAGCCTGTGTTACACATTCTGCCAAACTATCAGATGGGGGTGATAAATTGAAATATACTTCATCACAACACTTTACACAACTCAGTAAGTAGTTGGTTGTTGAAATAAGTTCCCTGATCCATGTGAATTTCTTTTAGTACTCTAAACCAGTGTTTCCCAAAGTGTGAGCCACGGCCGTAAAGCTTTTTCTGGGGGGGGGGGGCACCAATAAATAGGCCGAAAACAAAGATGCTGAATTAATTTTAATTCTAAATAAACAATAAGCCGATAAAAATTATGTTGAATTAATTAAACGATACAGTATGTCGAAAGGAGATGTTATTGTTTTTACTACGGCACTGTTTTTCAATCATCATTCTAAAGTAGTGGGGGGAGGATTATAAATTCACATTTTAAGGCATTTTAATAAGTTGGGGGAGGGCCTCAAACTTTTTTATTCAATCAATGGAGCCTCAGACTAAAAGAGTTTGAGAACCACTGCTATCATAAGTGAAAGAATGTGTTGATATACTGATCAATAAACAAACTTTGATCATCTTTGTGAAATAACCAATAAGTGACTAGTATGTATAAATGAGCTCTCACATTTTTCAGGAGTGGGCCAGTAATATCCAGGGCTAATCCTACGCATAGGAAATCCAACATTTCTCTGATGCAGTTCGCCCTACCTTGGCTTGTTCTTTATCTGGGCAGAAATGGAAATCTCTGGCCATCTTGTCAAACAGCTACTTTAAAATAAGGATAAATATATACATTTCTATACGTTTCTGCAAACGCAAAGTATAATTTATCATAATTTTCCCGCGTCATGTAGAAAATACCGTGCCTCAAATAATGTATATAATGATTATTTGTGAAATGTGAGTCATGTAGAAAATACCGTGATTCAAATAACGCTGAGAATACAATAGGGTAAGCAATAACCTTTTGGAGTTTAAAGATAATTAAAACAAAAAGGAAAATAACAAATTAATAAAGGAATGAGGTGGATTTCTAGTAATTTACTAGATATTACATGTGTATCACTGCTCAGCATCGTCTTGATGCTACTATTAGACAGCCTGTAAATTTTTAGAAGAATAAACTTACATGTTATTTTTCTACAGTTCTACAGCTATTTACACGAGAGAGAAATTCGAGAGGAGTTTATGTGTTTACAATAAATATTTGTATCCGTAAAGTAAAGCTCTACCAGTGTGTAAATATATTTAATTTTAATTTTTTTTGCAATATAGCAGATAAGATCAAACTCAAAATAACAAGCGTTTCGTGTCGTTAAGTGATACTAAATATTTCAATATAACATGATGTATTACCAGTTTCTTAATATTAACTGAACCATGACTGAAACGTTTCATTAAAGTTCAAATGGTACTGACTTAGTAGTTTTGTTAAAGTAACGTATAATTAGTGAAGATTAAGTAACGAAGTGTAGATTTTTATGTTGATATATATTTTATATTTCCTTCAGTCCCGGTCTTAACGAAGACACAATTCGTACACCGGAGAAATAACACAGAAAAAGTCCGTGTTTTACTACTGGGGCATGCTCGTAGTGGCTCTACTTTAGTAGGACATCTCCTCCAGAGTCAGCCAACCTCATTTTACCACTTCGAACCTCTGTATAGTTATAGGCACAAACTGGAGGCACTGCGTGAGCCACCAGATCAGAGTTTTCTCAAGGATCTACTCACGTGCAGCTTCGCAGGCAGAGAGACCTATCTTAGGATGATTCAAAATAATTTAGGTCAGATGTCATACCAATTCAATATACAATACGTGAATATGTGCAGGAAAGGGGAGGATATCAGGCCATGCTTTAGATCAGCAACAATAAGTCGTTTCTGTAAAAAACAGACTTTTCACATCATTAAAACAATTCGACTCTCTTTAAAAAACGCCATCGAATTTTCTCGAAACAATCCAGATCTGGATCTGAAAATCATCTACCTTGTCCGAGACCCACGTGCCATAATAAACTCACGCTGGTACGGAGTGGCGTCTCGGTGGTGTCGAGAGGCCAGTATTTGCTTTTCTTTGAAGACGTTTTGCCAGAATTTTATAGAAGATTTAGAAGAAATATGCAACTTAAAATTTGTAGATAAACAAAACTTTTTATTCTTACGTTATGAAGACTTAGTTCATCGTTCTTATGAAACAACACTTCGAATTTTTAAGTTTCTTGGTTTCGAAAAGCTTTCTAATGAGACTGCGTACTTCATAAAGAAACACATACAACGCCACCCTAACAAAAGCGTGAAGAAGGCTACAATGTGGCTGAAATCTATGAGCGTTAGTGACGTTCTTTCAGTTGAACAGCAGTGCTCGGGTGTTTTCAATAAACTGCAGTATCCCCAGCTTGGCAAATACGGATACAAGTTGAACATTTCCAAGACATACCAAGAACTGGAACATTCTATTTTGTGTTAACTGGAAGAAGAATGGATATTTTGTTTCTTTCCTAATTACAACTAAAAGTCATTTTGCATTAAGAACAAATTATATTTAAAAACATATCCAGTTCGTAATTATATTGGTATATCATAAGGATTTTTAAAAAAGTGATTTTTAGTTTGTTTTTATAAGCTTCAAAAACTTGAACTAATTATTTTGCTTACTATTTTATTACACGTTTTTGAAATATTCTTTCTGAATTATTTTTTTAAATCCTTCTGTAGTACATATACTCTTGTTTTAATGTCTTTGTTTTATAGAACAGAAGTTCCGATCTTTACTGCAGTACACTCGATTGGGTACTTACCTAACTTAACCAAGTATTATATTTTCACTAGGTACATCATTCGCTGTTCGGCCCGGCATGGCCAGGTGGTTAGGGCGCTCGACTCGCAATCTGAGGGTCGCGGGTTCGAATCCCCGTCACTCCAAACATGCTCGCCCTTTCAGCCGTGGGGGCGATATTACGTGACGGTCAATCCCACTATTCGTTGGTAAAAGAGTAGCCCAAGAGTTGGCGATAGGTGGTGATGATTAACTGCCTTCCCTCTAGTCTTACACTGCTAAATTAGGGACGGCTAGCGCAGATACCCCTCGTATAGCTTTGCGCGAAATTAAAAAACAAAACAAAAAAACATTCGCTGTTGTTTATTTGTCTGGAAACAGTTACAGCCCCATGATTCACTGATTTTAATACGAATAATCTTTACTGTGTAATTGCACTTTCCACCAAAACTACACTGTTAGGGTAGTCCAATGTGAAGTGAACTCACTAGATGTTAAAACTTGACATAATGAGTGAATGAGACAGCACGCTTATTGGACAAACAAAGAATATAAATAAATAATTCAATCATTGTAAATACAATAAGATATTTATTGTAATACAATAATCCAACATTGACAAGCTATGAGGAGCTCTTTTACTCATCAAAAATTATTTACGATGAAAAGACACATTTATAATCGTAAGTCACATTATAGTTATTACTAATAATTAGGTTCTATGAAAGACAATCTACATTTCCAAAACAATGACGTATGTTAATATATGTTGAATTTACACGATAAGGGTAACGAATTTTTTACACACTATAATTAATATTAAGGACATAAACCTGTAATTATGGTTCAACAATAAACTTTAAACAAAACAGTAAGCTTATTACTCACAGAATTCTTATAACGGACATCGACAAATCAAGCAGTTGAAAATTAATAATATTTTTTTAACTTGCGACCCTCAGGTGTCGTAACAACTAGGCCTAATGTCAGTACTAGTAGTAGTATCAACTAGGCCTAATGTCAGTAGTAGTAGTATTGATGAAGAGACAGTTTTACACGAAAATTTCAACTACATTTTAACAGTAAAGACTAAAAAACGTGATATGGAGTTCGAAACAGAGCAGCAAGAAACTTGCCGGACTGTATTCACATGTTTGTGTTGCGAAATAAATATTCACAGTCCATATATCTTCATATATAACATACAATGTGCTGACCATGTGAAATGACGGTGTTGCGTCAGAGAAGTCACGTGACTAGTGTCACGCCACGTTTTCTAGAAATATTCTGTTCCTTCCAGAATGTGTTAGTCTTGTATATATTGTTGCGTCAGCGAGGTCACGTGACTAGTGTGACGCCACGTTTTCTAGAAATATTCTGTTCCTTCAAGAATGTGTTAGTCTCGTATTATTGTTGCGTCAGCGAGGTCACGTGACTAGTATGACGCCACGTTTCTAGAACTATCTTGTTCCT